CTTTTAGGGATAAAAGAAAAAGTTTCGACTTAGGTAGTTTTAATAAGTAACTCTCTCGTTCATTTTTAATGAGTCTTCATCTCAAGTTTTAGTGAGTAACTCTCTCGTTTCGACTTAGTGCCCAGCGAGTAGCAGCTGTCTTGGCGTTTCGACTTGGTGCTTCTACAGAGGTAACCAGTCTCTGTATCAGCGTTTGGATTTAGTGCCACAGTAGGCGAAGACTGTCTTAGCGTTTCGACTTATTTTGCTATTACAGACTAGAAAACTGTTATAGCGTTTTTGAATTTTGTGCCACAGTAGGCAAAGACTGTCCTGGCGGTTGAATATAGTGCCACAGCGGGATTAGGCTGTCTCGGCGTTTAGATATAGGATTTTTGATTTTTGTTGTTTTATTTGGTGTTTTTAATTGTTTTTAGTTTCGTTTAGTAGTCTCCTTATTAGTCATCAGGGCGGTCTGTGCGTTCTTGAAGATTTTCGCATTTCGAACACGTCGCAAGAATACCGACAATACCCCCTCTAGCACCTCAACAAGAGGGCTGCACACATTAGAGGTGGCGTAAATCGGTTTCTCGCGACGTGTTACCCCTATATCTGATAGAAAATTGACGAGTTTTGATGAAAGATTTCTGCTTAAAAGTTGGTGTGTGTGTGTGTGTGTGTGTTTTTGTTTTAAGTGTGAGACGTGTCTTAACTATCTACTCTTATAGCTTATAGCTCTACAGCCCGCACGCTGCACGTCTTAAAACTTGCTGTAATTAGTTTCTTGTAAGGGATTTGTATATATTTAACAAAAATTACACCTATTCTAGAAAACTTGACGTTGGTGTTTGCTTAGTTTGTGTAAGAGGAGCAAGAAGTAGTGTCTATCTAGGGTAACCTAACCTGATTTTTATAGACATGGACTGCTGTGCCGCAAAATCCATCACTTCTGCGCCTAGGTGATTCAGGAACTACTTGACGTGCCTCAACATGGATCAGTGAACATTACATGGTGGCGGCAGGGGTTTGGACACATTAAACCTGAAACGAGAAGCTAATGAAAATTTCCACTCGAACATAATTTTAAGCGTGGCGCGGGGGGCATAGTTAGTTCCTGATAATTCCAGCGTGCATCGCGTCATATCGTCCTCCAACTTCGCAAAATAGGCGCCTGCGAGGTTTAATTTTAGACCTTGGCCACCTGTGGATCATTGGTTAGAGCTAGTGATATGTACCGTGCACGGTAGACGCCCCAAAATGGGACTAGTTGCTAGTGCAGCGGCAAAGAATATTACCCCGCTTTCCTCCTGCTTATAGGGTGAGTGGGCAGCTCCGGTCTTCCTCGCGCTATAATAATACTTCTCCAATTTTGTAAAATGCAATCTCCCCAGCTTCCCCCGTCTCTTGGACCCGAACCTCCCTTCTATGCAAGGCCAAGGCCTGAACAAGTAGATATCTGCTATCGCGCTGCCTGTGACGGAGACCTTGATACTCTTAAAGAACAGGCCTGGCAGCTTCTCCACAACCCTGAGGCGGCATTTGTTGAGCAACCGCATCCAGCATGGCTATATCGTTCATTAGCTGAGGCGATTCGGCAACAGAACATAGAAATGGTTCAGTTTCTGTTGGACGAGAACGTTGCGAATGGTGATCTTCCAGTTGAGGCAGCTGTGCGAAGTCGAGCGTTCAAGGTGCTGGAATTATTCCTCCAACGTGGGTGGAATATCAACCAGCCAATGGGCCGAAATGAGCCCTCCGTGTTGAGGTATTGTTACCAATATTCAATAGTCTCAACCTTTACTTAAACATCCAGTATCCCTCTGTGTACCTCTGATAAGGAGATGGTTATGTGGTTGCTTGACCATGGAGCCAATCCAAACAGCCGCTGCGATTGGGACTTTACACCTACATCATACGCCATGCTTGCTGCTCCTCTCGAAACTATCGACATTCTTTTCGAACGAGGAGCAAATCCACTCTGCGGACAACTCCTCCATTATGCTGTTCTACGGGATACATCTGACGCTCTAGATGTGGTCTGTAAGATTGTAGAGAAAGGTGCACCAATCAACGAGATTAAGTACGAAACGGAGCCAGAGACATATATCGAGCGCAAACCATTTGGTCTCGGAACACCACTTCATCGAGCTGCAGAGTTTGGTAAGAAGGACATTGTTGAGTACTTGTTGAAGATGGGCGCCGACTCCCTAAAGTTGGACAGCAAAGGTCGAACGCCACGTTACTGGGCAGAGAAGGATGGCTTCACGGACGTAGCTCGTGTTCTCGAGGAGGCAGAGCGTAAACAGGCAAACATGAATTCAATGTAACTAGATCTTTTGGGTGCTGATACAGGACGTAATATCAGGTGGAAGGGGGCTTGGATTTCGACTAGGACTAGTATGTGGTGTATGTATATTTAATCTACTATCGCCTTTTTTTCTTTTATAAGAGAGCTTAAATTAGTCGTGTGGACCCCTGAAATGCGGTTGAATTGCGCCGCCAGGACAAGAATCCCGTATGGGTCCTTGATATTGGTGCTGGGAGGCCAACTGCGCCGTAAAATTTATAGCGCCGCCTGGTCATGTATCCCGTATGGGATCCTGAAATGCGGAGAATTAGCGCTCTAGGGTAAACTGCGCCGCAAGACCACCATCCCGTATGGGATCTAAGATCTTGCGAGCCTAATGTAATCTGCTGTAATTGAGTTGAAATGCACATGGCTTGTTCTCTGCTACTGAGTGGCAATCTCATGCGGGGATCTATTTTTGGATAGAAATGCTGTCTTTTAACGCTGAGACGCGCGTTTAGCTAACGTCGCTTGGGTTGAATCACACTCCTTCGCTTCACCGCGACCGCAAACACCGGAATTAAATGATGCGCAAGAGGAAAAGAAGAGCGAGGATGATTTGGATGATTTGGGTCAATGGAACCTTCGGGGATTACCTACTACCGCGTTATTATCTAAAACTATAGAAAGTCTATATATATAGTAAGTTCTAGGACTAGCCTTTCAGCTACGCTAGAAGGCTATATCGCAGGATATAAGTCGCTGTATATGTAGGTCGGCATACTACAATGCGATATCTCCCCGAACAACCCCTCCTGACACGACTTCTTAATTAACCTAGACCTTGCTATCACTTGAACCAAATGCTTCATATATTGTCAGCAAAATTATGGTAATAGTTAGAGAGATCTAGAATTCTTCCATTGCAACGAAATCGAAAACCACTGCCCACTAAGCAGCGGAGAAAGTCCTCAGATTTTAAGTAAGCTTCATATGATTGAATGATATAACTCTATGCTGCATAATCCGAACATAAATGCGAGCCACTAGACTAAAAAACATCTACATAACTCTACGAGCGTTTCTTCAATGTATAGTAACGCAGTTTCACTGCACCCTCCGACCGGCCAGGGAAGCGTTTACATATCTCTTCCCACTCCATGCCCTGTTTATCCTTTAACGAGAGTAAAAGCACCTCTTCTGACTCTAGCCATCGCTTGTGCGTCCGTTGGCTGTGTCCTCGCGCATCCTCTTCTTCATTCCCATCCTCTTCATCATAGCCGTCCTTTGAGCGGTCCGTTCCATGACTAGCAACGTCATCATGGGCACTGCTTATCCAATTCGCCTTCAAACCTCCGCGATTACAGAGGTCTGCACCACTGCTGTTACACCGGTATCCTAGCAGCACCCATGAATCTGGTGATAGCTGGATCATGCGGATAACTTTGCCTTGTTCGCCGAGGACCTTGTGACCGAGGGCTACTAGATCGAGTAAACCACTCGGGTCGCAATGGCGCAATATTGCTGACACGACTGAAGAGTCATTTGGAATAGCACACAGCGTTAGATCGGTTATCTGACAAGACATACTAAATCCAGATCTATAGTCGACATTGATTACATCTTCAGCCGTCGCGCCTGGAGAATTCGATGCTGAGAGGTAACTTTGAGACCCTTTATCGGTGTTGAGCCGCTCCGATATCGGACTTTGGTGTAGCTGGGTCAATCTTACTTGTTGTGGTGGCTCCGTAGGTGCTGTATTGTAGTCCACTGATCTGAGAGCGGTATCTGACTTCCCACGTCCCATCTCAGATGTCCAAGCTCTGCGCCTAGGCCGTTGGGATCTCGATGAAGGGATGATACATGACCCATTGCGGCTGAGTCTCTTTCGAACAATTTCTCCAGTTTTCCTACCGCAACTTTGTCTATTCACCACATCCCTACCGGATTCTTGGCCAATGTCTTCTTCTGACTCCAGTCTTTCGGAAAGGGCTATAGATCGTCGTGCTTGTAGTCGCTCTTCAACCGATCTCTGGATATAAGTGCCGCCGCGATGTTCTGCACCGTAGAAATCAGTTGTAGGCTGGGCTAGACTTGTGGTACAATATTCCTCGTGGCCAGAATTTGAAGAACTGAGAATAGAGCTCTCACGAGTACCAAGCCGGGAAGACGAGGCGTAAGGATGCGGCAAGGGCGTTGGCTTAGGCATATATGTACGTTCGATTGTGGGGCTCTGTGCCTCTCGCTCAGCCATCCTTCGCCGCTTCGATGGACGAAGACGATCAAGCTCTGGATCAGACACAGCGTTCGGCACTGCTTCTGGGATGCTTATTGTCTCATCAACAACCGAAGATTGATGCGATCGTTTTTCGCTGTTTGATGATCCATTTACCACATTAGCGACGCCGGAGAACGTATCGTCTTCCACTGATGGTCCCTATTTGACTGCGTCAACACAGCTCCGTGTACTGATAAGACGATCTCACTCACCATGGTAAGTACTTTCGATATCATCTATAGAGAAAGCGTATTCTACTGCTGTATGGAGATCTCTGTGCTGTATGGCGTGGTCCCTACCGTTGGTAGTGGCGAGGTATTGGCTCTTGTCTTGAAAATTGGGGGAGCCATTGCTAAGACGAAACTCTGTGACGTTTTGATGATTGTCAGTCGCACCAGTTTCTGTAATCAGATGCAGGTCTATCCAAGATTAGTAAAGTCGGCACTGCAATTAACTTTAGTACTTGCCTCGACCGCCTCCATCGAACGACTTATTCAAGGCTAAATCCAATGTTACGTGGTCCATAACTCCCTCATCGCACAACTCACGGCGAAGTTGGTAGTGGCTGTCACCCTTTGCAAACTCATGTGTGTCTCTTCTATAATTTACTCTCAACAGATCGCATTTTTCTGAGTCCATTCCCTCAACGTCTTCCATATGGCCTGATGTCTGTACTTGTGGTATTTGCAGAGGGACGGTGGGAAGGTTGCTTTCGCTTTCTAGATATGACTCAGTCCGCATTCGTTCGCTTACATGACTAGGGATCAAGAATTACCTTGGAGTAGCAATCCTAAGGGTTGTGTCGCTACTTCCCCATCATTTCTATAAACACTTTGTTCAGCCTTCTTAGCCTTTGGCTTAGATTGCGTACGCTTGAGTAACGTAGGATCGTAATATCGGAACTCAGATGAAGTGTTCTGAAGAACTGAAGTAAAAGCAGCCATGATAGGATTTCGATGGAATCTGATGAACTCTGGCCAAAACAAAAGTGCGGTATCTGAGGATTTAAGTAGAAAACCATTCGGTGAGCCAAGGAGCTCCCTAAGTGAGCAAAAATCTAGCTCGGAACGCTAAATCGATTGCAGTAGGCTATCCTCGGTGTCCCCGGCGCAACCTTCTTCATCTAACTGTGCCCTGCTCTTGACTTGACTGCTGCTGCGAGAGCTTCCAAGGGTTTGCGTGATCCATGAGCGGGTCCGTTCCTATATGAACCAATCAAACCAGATGACGACGCCGGAAACCAGAGCTAAGACACGAGCATGAAGGCTATCCATTGGACAGCGCTCTACTTTCCGCCAAAGGGGTGGTGGAAACGGCTGTACTCATCTCTCCTAGTCCATACTAACTCGAATACCAACGCCGAGTTATTGACTGCAGGCGTCTATGCAAACGCTCCCTGCTGGTCACACCGCAGTGTTACAGAGGAGAGAAAAACCGTTTGACCTCGTCATCGCCAACAAATCTAGCTCTTGCAGGCCGCGGATAACCAAGCTTAGGTTGGCCAGCGTGTTGTGTAGAAGGACCGAAAGTTGAAGGAGGCAATGTTGGGTGGCTAGAGCTGAGACATGAGCGCCATTGACCGGAAACTGTGTCCTTCTAACCATAGCAGTATGCGGTCAGGGTTCTGTTCATCTATCACTTGCTACGCCAACGGCGATGCCGAGCCGTCAGCGGGCTGTCTCCTGACCTCTGCCCCTTGCTTGTCGCACTGCAACAATGCAACACTACAGGCACTACGGACGTGCTATGCGTGGCGAAGTAATATGGATCCCTGAGCGCAAGACTAGCGTCATATGCGAGTGAGAAATCATACCCAAGAAGGAGAGAGCCCGCTCGGGCATGACGCGTCCTAACGAGGCAGATTGGAGGTTACGCTCCACCGAAGGAGCAAGGTGTGGGAGGCAAAGTGGCCAGAGCTGAGATTACGGCATGGAATCTCATGCAGACTGCCTTAATCAAGCTATGTGTGAGGCAGTGCGTTGCAGAAGCACTGATGCCTCAGTGATCCAGAGAAAAAGGAGAAAGCGAATAGTTTAATCAATCAGCTGCGTAAGTAAGTGAACCTTGCGAGGGGCGAACGCCCCTCATTCAACCGTAGATGTGCTCCGGATGAAGCCAGTGAAGCAACTATCGACGGAACCTAGACATAGTGTACGATAGGTATTCTGCTAGTATGTTCATTGCTATTACTGTGTGTTGCATTGCGGCGAGAAGTTCAAAGATGCGTGAATTGTCGGAGCCCAGCGTGTGCGAAGACTGGGGTAACCAAACTCCATTAGGACCGAAGAATTCTGAGAGAGGCAGGCAATTGAGAGATAAAGGAGCACTAGAGCAAGGCGGCCTGATTCATCCAGGCTGGTAGCCGGGCGTGAGACAATTGCCGCTTGAAGGATGGTTCAGCCGTATGGGAAAGGGGCGGCGACTGGGCGCAGAGGAGAGATTGTGATGAGAGTAGAGAGTATTGGACGAAGAAGGGGATAGAAGATAACATTGGAAGAAGGCTTTTTATGACAGACGTTGGAGTTCAGTTTCCTATTTGAGCGTAGTGCAAAAGCCGCACACCAGGCCCGGATTACCTCAATAGGGTGCATCAACTTCCTGATGCAGGCTTGCCGTCTGATTGTTTACTTAAATAACACTACTATCATTACTTAGTTCTTATATTACTTAGCTAGGCCTTTACTAATATTAATATTTATGTTATGATATAAAATACTATAAATGGTAGTAAATATATACTTATTTTTATTTGATACTATATTAGTATAGAATTGTTAAGGAGTGGTAGAGCTACTTGATATATCAGCGGTAGCTCTGGTTGATCGATAGATCTAGCACTCGGCAGGTATTTGCTAGGGGAGAGGAGATTGAGTAACTGAAGTAAAACTGTGATCTGATTGACTGTCTAGTAGACTGTTGGGTTTCCTCTAGTTCTATCTACTTAGCTGATCTACTACTATATATATTTGACTATATCAGATTCTAGAAGAATCTGCCACGTAATAGCTTGCGTAATCTTCAGCGTAATAGATATCTGTTTGATCGATCAGATGATGTTGATCGATTATTACAGTCTTTTATCACAGTCTTGGCAGACTAATGATAGATCTAGTGTAGCCAAGCACCCGGATTCTGCTAGAGATCAGCTGACTAGCTTATAT